GATCACACTCTTCTCTTACATCACACCAACTCCTCCCGTACCATCATCCCCCTTCCACCACAACTTATATCTTCCACCTTTAGCCCCCACAAACCTTGTACCCTCACCCTTCCATCTGACCTCCTGTAATGCAGCCACGTCAACCATTCTCCTCTGCAGCTCCTCCACCACTTCCAAACTTCTTCCTGTCAACGTGCCTACATTCCAGGTACCAAACCTCCAACCCCTTGGTCTACAAGTAGTCCTTCCATCTATAGTGCCTTGCACCGCCACACTATAGAGTGGGGTGCCAGTAGCCAGACCATCCACAGGGCCTTGCACCACAACCCCATCGACTGGGTCTCCGGAGATTCTTCGCACCCTCTTCTGCCGGATACTGAGGGCCATTGTTTTCTCCGTCATCATCATAAGCATTTATTATTTGGCTAGTTTTTACACAGGACGCCCTTCCTTACGCAACCACAGTTATAAGCGGTGGGCCTAGCCTTTGATGATCCAACATCACTCACAAGGCAGTGAGGGTCAGTTTAATGTCATAACTAGGACATTGATACCTGACGATAGTAATACAATTGTATTTAATAGTGGTACGCCGAATGTGTTTAGTGTAGTAATACCAACTGGTGGTCAAACACACCTTAATTCTGCTGTTGGTACTAGACTTCTATGAAAAAATATCCTATATCATCCTATATCAAAGCTTCAGTACTCGCTATATCTCCAGCACCGTATTGTAGCTTCCAACGATAGTCAAGAGTTCGTTTATCCGTAGATTCAAGATCTCCGATAGATGAACAAAACAACTTTAAAATGCAAACTACGTCAAACATTAATTTAATACCAGCAGTAATAGAAACAGTAACTTAATCCTAATAACTACATAAAATCACGTTAATCACATTTACGTCAATTGTGCTCCGTATTCTGATTATCTATACTTCTCGTGTTATTCTCGTTCCTCGTGTTATTGGTCTATTTATACAGTTTTCTTGCTTTCTTTTACAATGCATAGACATTTTACAAAACGGCGTACCATAGATAATTATTGTCATAATTATGGAGCGCTGTATTTATAACAATATATATATATATATATATATATATATATATATATATATATATATATAATATATATATATATAATAGACAATAATTTTTATAATATTCTATAAATTCTACCGAATGTTTGGCGTTAATATATTTGTAGTTCGTTTTTTCGATTTTTCTCACTAAAGTTTTTTGGTGAACGTTTAGTTTATTAAAATTCAAAATAAACTAAATCGCACTGATGATGTCGCCCAACATAGACTCCTTTGGTAGACAGACCTGGTTGTATAACGGACAAAACATAAGTCTAAACAAATGCCTCGGAAAATCAAAACGTGGAAGCTGAAAAGCATACAAAACCGTTTTGATAAACGCTGCAACTACAGTTTGTGGGAAAACTGGTACAAAACGCCAGCATGAACGTGATACTTGGTGGTGGAACGACAGTGTACAAAATGCAATAGCTGAAAAGAAAGTTGCATACAAGCAATGGCAAAAATCAAAGTCTGTTGATGACCATAAAATTCTTTGTGAGAAGAACAACTATGCAAGACGTCAAGTCGCACTGGCTCGGACAGATCAGTGCAGAGAGTGGCTCACTAAAAGCAAAGGTGAACAAATGAAATCTCTGTATAGCAAAACAAGCAAAGCGTACGAAGAAAGACATAGTTGGTGCCTTATGTATCATAAACGACAAAAATGAGATGGTTCTTGAACAAGATGAGATCAAGATACAGTGGAGAGAATACTTCAACCGTCTGTTAAATGAAACAAATCCCATCCATGTTAACTTTGACGCTCCACCCATCGAAGGTCCGATTTCAGACATCACTGTAGAGGAGCTTACAGAAGCTCTGAAAGCTATGAAGGATGGAAAGGCAGCAGGGCCCTCTGGACTCACAAATGACATTATAAAAGCATCTGGTACTGCAGGTGTCTAAACGTTACATTAACTTTGCCGTGAAGTGTGGAGAAATTGTTCAATGCCGACTGAAACTATAGCATGACAGTTCCGCTATGCAAAGGCAAAGGTGATCCATTGAATGTTCATCATATCGGAGTATACGTCTGTTAGAACACTCCCTGAAAATTGTCGAAAAAATCATTGAGAGAAAATTAACGTCGTGCATCACAATCGGAAATTATCAATTTGGTTTTCTAGCAGGGAAATCAACAATTGATGCAATTAACATCTTTTGGCAACTGCAAGAAAAGTACCTCGTAAAGCATCAACAACTATCACACATTTTTGTAGACCTTGAAAAAGCATTTGATCAATTTCCCCGTGAAGCAATCAGTCGTCAACTCATTCCAGAATATCTTGTTCGAATTGTGATGGAAATGTATATATGCTGATGATATCGTTTTAACAGCCACGTCTGAGCAAAATGCAGCACAGATGTTTGAAGATTGGAACACTAGACTCGCCGATCATGGATTCAAAGTCAACATCAGCAAAACCAAAGCAATGAACACTGGTGAACCCATCCAATCCACAGCTACTGGACGATGGCCCTGTTCAGTTTGTAAAGCTGGTTAGGTAACAATTCAATCAAGTGTCAGCAGTGTAACCAGTGGTGTCACAAACTTTGTTCAAAAATAATTGGTACTTTATATAAAGTGTCCAATTTTGTTTGTCTTGCTTTGTTCAAACGTTGTTCAAAAATAATTGGTACTTTATATAAAGTGTCCAATTTTGTTTGTCTTGCTTGCATCAATCCACAAAAACAAATTAGAAATAGCAATGTTTTTGAAACCATTAAGATAGAGAAAGTCACATCCTTTCAATATCTAGGGGATGTTCTGGATTGTACTGGAACAGCTGAAGCTGCCGTTCGAGCACGAATAAGTGCAGCCTGGAATAAATTGCATCCCCTTGCCTCTATATTGATGCGACGTGACATCCCACTACCACTACGATCAAGACTTTATAAATCTGTGTACGTCCAGTGTTGTTATATGGTGCAGAAACATGGCCAATGACAACCGAACTGGAACAACAACTTCAACGAACCGACATGAAAATGCTCCGATGGATGCAACGAATTAGTCTGAAGGACCACATAAAATCTACCGAAATCCTGTGTCGTGCTGGTTTAGATGATATAAAGGACGAACGCCGGCAACAACGTCTACGGTGGTTTTGTCATGTCAAACGAAGTAGAAACAGTGCCATAACTTCTCTTGCAGATGTTGAAGTACCTGGCACACGTCCCAAAGGTCGTCCAAAGTAGTCCTGGTCGCAAACAATCGAACAAGACATGAAAGCTCTAAATTTAAATGAAATGGATACAACTGATCGTCTAATTTGGCGCAAAAAATTGATGGTAGAGAAAAAAACGTCCTACCTCGGAGAACTGGGTCTCTGGACGCTAAACGAAAATTGATTGATATATATATATATATATATATATATATATAAAGGAGCAATATATAGGAACTAATTCATTGTACCTTATAATGCTATAAAACGTGAGAGGCTAGGCATGGCGAATTCGACCGTTGATCGTTACAGAAGGCGTGCGAATGACATGGCAAATATGATGTTGAGATGCTATAAGGCGTGAGGGGCCCGAATGGCAAATTTGTTGGGATGCTATTAGACGTGAGAAAGCCAGTTGAATTCATCGTTTAGAACAATGTAAAGCCCGAGAACCGCATAACGAATAAGCTGTTGAGATGCTATAATGCTTGAAAACTGAACAGAGTTGATAATTGCACTCAGATAATGCGTTCTCAGACGATACAAGACGTGAAAATCCCACGATTCAGGCGCTATGTTGAAGCGCGAGATTCGCAGTTAGACATCTGCTAACACCATCCTTTCTTGTTTAGGGAATGATAATAGTTTTAAAAACATTCAAAATATTTGTTACATCAAGTGTCATTTGCCAATATTAACATGCGCAGAGACGCACCAACACACACATACATTATACATCAACACAATTGCAACACAATTGAAAAAACAAGTACATCGTTCATGCGCTAAGATGAAACAACTACCTACAGGGCCAAGTGCATTATTGTTATATCAACATTGTCGACAAAAGCTTGGCTCTTTTAGTAGTTTTTTCATCTCAACACATGATACCAGTTTATGCAGTAATTTCACTGTACCCACTAAATACTTTGTTTGTCTCTCCCAGAGTTATGTCCACATATCCCACAAACATATAAACTTTGCCAATCAACTATGTTAATCAATGACAATCTGAGTCAATCTTGCACAGATAAATGAATTTTTTTAAAAAGAGGTTTAAGCTGATGGAACAGTTGTTGTTTCTTTCTTGCTAGATATTTCAAGCACTTGATGGGGATAAATGAAATTTTAAAAAAAAAAGTTTACGCTGATGTAACAGTTGTTGTTTTTTTCTTGCTAGATGTTTTAAGCACTTGATGGGGACAGGATACAGAATGTTTGCATTTGAGGTTTGTCCATTTTTTTTCTGGTGCAGTAACCTGTAAGTTATTGGCGATATTATCTGCTAATATTATTGCTTGACTTCACTGGTAATATGATCTGCAATATTGTTCATATCCTCTTGTTCACAGCTGCCGGATGTGTCAGTTTCAACTGTCTGGTATAATTTTTTTCTTTTAATTAACTGTTAATGCAGCAACCATTGACAAACATCTAAAAATAAGCATTTTTTAAGGCTTGAATTTTTTTTAATTTAACCAAAACTACCTTTTTCTATACTTACACTGTGTATCTGGATCAAGATCAACAATCTTGGCACTTTTAAGAAGACTTCCATTGAGTGGTATTTTTTTTAAACCTTCAATCACTTCAACATCTTTTTCAACACTCGCAAATTCATCTTCTAACTTCAACAACTTGGAATTTAGTCATTAAATTTTAATGACTTTAGCACTTAGCTTTAAAGTTTAATTAGATTAGACAAGCGATATTTTTCATATAATATTACATTTTCTTAACAACTTGTACAACATCGTTTGCATGATTAATAACTGACGTGATGAAATTCGTTGCTTAAGTATCATCGGTGCTATGCCATGCTCTATTACTATTTTATTACGACTTTGCTGTACAAACGTGTACATGTACAGTACGCTGGGACTGTCTTAACTCCTGAAAGTCTAATCTAAATATTCGAGTCTAAATCTTAAAATAAAAGTCCGCGAAATAAACACAAAAAACAACCTTTAATATTTTCCATTAATTAGCACTGATCACTCCTTTGAAGTTCAAAATTAATGAAACCCCACGTAGAGTGAGTTTATGAGATTAATTAACAATTAATGGATGAGTTTGAAAGATTTTAACAGCTTGACCTAGGTATTATTAACATGTTAGAGATAGTAAAAAAAAATAATAAAATTTTAAAAGTAAAAGCTGATAATAAATGCAAAACGCATTTTATATGGTTTTAGAGTTTTAATGTTCGGAATAGTCATATATATAGATATACGACTTTATTTGAACATCGCGGAATTAGAGCTTTATAAGCTAATTGATTGATTGATTGAGCTGAAAATATATTTGAATCAATAAAAATAAATAAATAACAAAACACGTCATCCATCCCCTACTAACACCAATTAAAACTACAACACAAAACCTTCGTCAGCGCAAACATAACTGTCAAGTCGTCGCTCAATTTACATACCAGGAAAAGACTTTCATCACAAGACACCTCAAACATATTAATACTCGTTAAAACTTTATCATTCACAGAGCTAATTTTTATTTATCGATCACCTCACTAAGTCATCATCTAGTCCAGGGGTGGGCAAACTTTTTTTCGTAAGGGCCACATTGAAAAACGTTTTACTTTTGGAGGGCCGCATCATTATATATATATATATATATATTCATTATATATATATATATATATATATATATATATATATATTAATTATATATATATATATATGTGTGTGTGTGTGTTTGTTTTTTAAAGCTATAAATAAGTTATTTATGCCAAAAATTACGTTTTTATTTATTTGCAAAAATTGTCAATTACATATATAACAGGTTTTACAGTAAATCTGATATAAAAAATAAGTTTCATTAACAAAAGTTTTTCTAATTAATGAGAAGTATGGAACTGTTCACAATTTTCAACAATGTTCTTGAATTGTGGAGCCAGATCACTTGTCACTATTCTCATTATTGCATTTAGGTTGCAGTCATTTATCATGGACCTATTTTTGGATTTATTTATTTTCATACATACAAATGCTAAATCATACAAGAGAATGCTTGTTCGCATATATATGTGGATCCAAATATTGAAAACATTTTTGCAGCAAATCTTTTAAAATTTGGAAATGGTACATCAGACAGCCATAAAATTCTAACGAAAGACCTGATTTAAACTTTTCTTTCAGTTCACAATTTGCTTGCATGTCCAGCAGTTCCAACTGCAAGTCTTCAGGTATTTCATCAGTTTTTATACAAAATGGTGTTGTGAGAATTGTAAACAAAGGCTCCAGGTTTTTAAAATCTTCAAACCTTCTTTCAAATTCCCTAGCTAAATCATGTATTTGTTCTTTGTATTTCTGTGCTACTTCAGCAGAAATTAGTTCCTGTTTTAGCAATGGAAAATGACAGAACTTGTTTTCATCTGCTTGTCTAGAACAGGGGTGGGCAAACTACGGCCCATTTTATGCGGCCCGCGAGTCCTTGTACGCACTTCAGATTTACATATAAAAAATGAATTTTTATGTTTTAGAATTGAATTTTAAACATTTAATTTGAAGCCATTGTATTCTAGAATTAAATTGTTAAAAATTTGCTTAATATTGTTCATTCTAATGGGTGCTAACGCTACATCTAATCAGTGTATTCAAGCGGGTCGCCTAGCAAGATATAGACTATTAGCGATTCCTTGGTTTTTTATTCATTTTTATATAGTTGATCTTCTTGTTAATCTTTAATTTAAATACCAGTTTTTAATTAAAATGTTAAAAAAATATTTAAAAATTAGAAAAAAATTTAAAGTTTTCTATGTATTTATTATCTCAGTCCGCTTTGAAAAGCTTGCGAAGTCCTCTGAGTTTTTAATTTTTACGCACAAATTTCTAATCGCAATAAACATTTTGTCACAATAATGTCATTATTATCACAAAATTGTCATTCCTGATATTTAAAAAATGTTGAATCGAGCTTATTAAGACAAAATTTGCTCTTCCCCAGTCGGGCTGACATCGGCGCTTGACCGAAGTTGGCTGATTTAAATTTTCTTCCAACAAAATCTCTCCTATCTGGGCCGCATTATCACTATATTTATTCTAGCTTATGGTCCATTCTAACTTGAACCTTTCAGTCTTTTATTTTAAATTCAATTGCAACACTGTTTAAAATTGAATTTTGTGCAGGAGGAAGCCATCTTTGTATTCTTTTTTAATTTTTTTGTTTCGTATTTAAAAGTCATGTCTGCTATCAAGAAAAGAAAAATAGATGACGAATGTCGAGTATTTAATGAGGAATGGACAACTAAATATTATTTCACTAACGTCGGTGGAAAAGCAGTCTGCTTAATTTGTCGCGAGTCCATAAATGTTTTCAAAGAGTATAATTTGAAAAGGCATCAGCAATCGAAACATTTAGATTTTGGAAGCAAATTCTCAGATGAAGATCGAAAAAGGAAATGCCAAGAATTGCTTAAAAATTTAAAAACACAGCAAAACGTTTTTACCAAACAATCTTCAATCCAAGTGGCTGCAACAGAAGCTAGTTTGGTATTATCTCACAAAATAGTTAAAAATAGTAAATCATTTTCTGATGGCGAGTTCGTCAAAGAATGCTTGCTGGATGCAGCAAACATCATGTGTCCAGAGCAGAGAAAAAAATTTGATAGTATTTCTTTATCAAGAAGAACTGTAGTCAGACGAATTACCTTGATAAGTGAAAACTTGTTGCAACAGCTTCAAATTGCTAGTAAAAATTTTTGTGGTACTCTCTTGCTTTGGATGAAAGCACAGATATGCAAGACACATCACAACTCTTAGTATTTATAAGAGGAATCAATAATTGCTTTCAAATTACTGAAGAGTTGCTCAGTGTTGAATCACTAAAGGACACAACTACTGGCCAAGATTTATTCGATTCTGTGGAAAATTGTATTGAAAAAAATGGATTAGCCTGGAACAAATTAGCAAGTGTAACAACTGATGGTGCTCGAGCTTTGACTGGAAAAAACAAAGGTTTGTTGACACTGATAAACAGAAAAATAAAAGAAGAACATCTAGATCATGCACTTATATCTATTCATTGTGTCATTCATCAAGAAAATTTGTGTAAAGTTGGATCGAAAATTAAGCATGTTATTGACTCAGTTGTTGGGGTAATAAACATCATCAGAGCCAGAGGTCTTAACCACAGACATTTCAAAACATTGCTCGAAGATATGGAAAGTGAACATTCTGACATACTCTACTACTGCAGTGTTCGTTGGCTAAGTCTTGGCAGGGCACTGAGTCGAGTCTGGGCTCTCAAAGAAGAAATAGTTCTTTTTTTAGAAATGAAAAGTATCAATTCTGATTTTACTACAAATATTAAAAATGAACAATGGAAATTAGATTTTATGTTTGCCATTGACATTATTGAAAAGTTAAATGAATTGAACAATAAACTTCAAGGCAATGGTCGCATAAAATGGATCGGCGGGCCGCATGCGGCCCGCGGGCCGTAGTTTGCCTACCCCTGATCTAGTCTATTAATTTGCGTTTTGATGCCATTACTTCATTTTATATTTCATTGTCAATATCTTTTCTTTGCTTTTATTTATTTTATTATTTTATTCTATTTTATTTCATTTTTCTTGTTTAACATTTTTATTTCTCCGTTTTTGTATTTATTTACTTATTTTACATAATATAGTAAACAAAGAGTTAAAAATAAATCCAGCTTAATTTGCGCCATTTAGCTCCTCCCCCTTTTTAATATTTATGTTTATTAGATTACAAGACGAGAACAAGAAAAGATCTTTTTTCAATCATTTTCATTTATTAATTTTTAATTAATTTTCAATAGTAGATATTTTAAAAATTTTAATTTGTTTTTCATTTAAAAATTATTGTCAATAATAAATATTTTAGAAACGGCTTGTGTTAATTATTTTAAAAAGAAAATGCTGATTTATTTTATTAATAAAATAAATTATGATCAATCAATCAAATTAATTTTTATAGCGCCCTTTCCGTATTGTATGATGTTTCACTTAATTTTTATAGCGCCCTTTTCATGAATGTTTGATGTTTCACTTTTAAATAACAACGCGTATGTTTCTGCCATTTTTTCTTCTGTTTTGTTCTGTCATTTTTTCGTCTGGTTTTTCTGTCATTTTTTCGACATTTTGAATTTATCTGTAGTCATGAACTTTCCGGCCTTTAATAGTCTGTCATCAATGGAACTGACAAACGCCATAAATACGAAACAAAAAGCAGTGGACTGGGCGATGCAACACGGATTACTGTCGTCTGGAATGACATGCGTTTGTGGAAAAGTTATGCGTTTGTACAATTCCAAAAAAGCAGCAGACGAACAGATATGGCGTTGTACAAACCATACGGCCTGCAGCAGAACAAAATCCATTAGAAATGGTAGTTTTTATGAAAAATGTAAGCTACCAATGAGCACATGTATCATGGTTATTATTTTTTTATTCTTAACTTAAATTATATTTTATAAATATTAAATTTTAGAATGAAAAACAATAATAATTTTGTTCATTCAGTTGACATATTATTGGAGCATGGGGGACATCAGTCAGGCAGCGACAGCTTCGTTGCTACAAATAGATAAAAATAACACGTTGCCTGACTGGTTCAACCTCCATCGCTAACTCTGTACCGATTGGGTACGAGACAACCCAAAAATAATTGGTGTACCTGGTCGAATTGTCCATATTGATGAGTCTGGTGTCCAGTAACAAAAGGACAAGGAATGGAAGGGCCAGGCTAATTCGCAGCGTTGGGTTTTTGGCGGCATAGATAATGTTTCCAAAGAAGCCTTCTTAGAAGAGGTGGCTCAACGTGATGCGGCCACTTTGCTGCCCATACAACGGCATGTTTTGCCCTGTAATGATTTTAACATTTTCTATTTACCTTTCCTATATTAACATTTTATCTAATTCTCATTCAGGCACGACAATATGGTCTGACAAGTGGGCCGCTTATGCGAACATTCCCAGAGTTACGGGACTGGCACACGACACTGTCAATCATCGATATGGCTTTGTTGCTCCAAATGGAGTGCATACTAATGCCATTGAGAATCTTTGGAAGTGTGCCAAAGATAAATTTAAACGGATGCATGGTACCTGCGATGATCACGTCTCTTCGTGTCTCGAGTTTATGTGGCAGCGCGGTATCAAGGACCGTGATGAGCGGTTTCAAACAGCTCTTGAGCTCATCCGTACATATTACCCTGTTTAAACATTTAAATTAAATTTAATTGTTACTTTTTTTTATTGCGATTTAAATTGTAAGTAATTTGTATTTTCCATTTATTATGATAAAATAAAATCATTAACTTCTAAAAAAAAAGTGTTTTGGCTTGCACTCGTTAATCATAAAATTTTTAAATAACATCTTAAAAAGGACGAAAAAATTAACCGCTTTAAATATCATTTATTATTTTACAAGACAGGAAAAATTAAAAATTGCGCATTTAAACATTTATTACATCAACAAATACAACGGCTATTAAAAATGAACATAAATATTAAAAAGGGGTGGAGCTAAATGGCGCAAATTAAGCAGGATTTATTTTAAACTCTTTGTTTACTATTTTATGGAATTTCCCAGTGCCATCCTAAGGTTTTGCCGGCAATATCTATTTAACGATTAAATACGGCACCTTATAAAACCTAAAACTTCACGGAATGCTGAAAACGAAATAAATTTTAACAATCGAGCTGAATGCAGATCGGCAAAGAGTCATTAACATAACTTCGGGAAGGCCAAGATTTTTTCTAATTATATCTCAGATTTTTCTAAAAATAAATCAAAATGCTCATGAATAATTAATTTTTAGGAACTTGCTTCCAGAGGTAACTTGCCCGTTGAAAAAAATTTTCAATGTTAAAACGCTGGTAGGGCGCTTCCAGTTATATAATTCCATGGTCCCGACTTATATAGTGGGTGATGCCGCGTTACGTGACTTCCAATCGTTCACGCCTTTTTGCTAGTAAGTGCATCACATGACTTTTACAACCGTTTTCATTGGCTCCGCCTCTTAATTAAATTATCAAGCGCTTCACTTTAATTTCTAATTACCAATTCTTATCTCGCCTTCACGTCTGTAAAATTATCATTGGCTGCATTTAATTTTCTGCATTTAATTTTCCTCTGAAGTTTTTAGTTTTTTTTTCGGATTTTCGATTTTTTTCTAGCAAATTTGGTATTGCTTCGTTAAGAAAATTCAGGAGAGTATTTGTGTATTTTAGTTTTTTACATAGATATTAAATTTAATGGTTTAATTTGCATTATTTCTTTTGGTTTCTTGTGCGTGCTCATTGTGTTACAATAGAATACATAGTGTACAGCTGTATACAAGTTTATAGCAGTAAAACTGGTAAGTTTTACTTTATTTTCCATTTTCATAAAATTTATTTAATTTGTTTCAACAAAGTTCAGTAAAAATAAAGTTTTACTTTATTTTCCATAGAATTAAATTATTTATTTTATTTTGGTTTACCTATTTAACATAGCAATACATAGAGTTATTTCTTTACATTTGTTAAAAGGCAGGCCCTCATAAACCAAGTCCGCCTCAGTTTCCAACCCTGAGTTGACATGTTCCTTATGTTCGTCCTCTGTCTCCCTAGACCCTGGTGTCTCAAGTTCTAATTGTAACTGCTGTGTACATGCTAAATGTGCCGACATTTCGGACGATGTCATTTTTGCTATTCGTAGCTCAGAAAGACTATTTTGGTATTGTGAAAGCTGCAGAAAGCTGCTGAAATAATTAATTTAATTGACGATACCTGTCAATCAGTTAACTCTAAGTTGTGCAAAATTGTTGCTTTCAATAGAGACGATTTTGATACGCTTAAGTGTTCAATGAATCTCAATCGTGATAGTTCCTCCAAGGATAACATTAAGTCTACTATCGACAATTTACTCCATGAGGTCCATGAGCTTAAATCATATACATAGAATATAAACATAAATAGGAAATCAACAATATATAGAAGTTAGCGGCAGATAATATGATGTGCGACCGGGGCCGTAATAATGTAGAACTATAACTTTGAGCAGCATAGAAAAAAAAGTTTAATTGTTAACTATATTTAGGTTACATAAAAAATAAACAGTAGTCTTTTTGTGACAAAATAATATAGCATATATTTAATAAATATAACTTTTGAAATTATTTTTGAGACAACTAAAATATACAAAACAATTATTATATAAAGAAAAAAACGAAACTTACCAAAAAAATTGATTCAACTTGCGATTGATCAAATATTCTTTGAAATTAGTTTAGTCGGTAGTCAAAGCAGAAACCTAGTTATCTACCGAACAGTATAACGCTTTTAAATAGATTAACTTTATTATATATTTATATTTTTCTACATACAATTAAAAACATTGAACAAACAAAAGACTAAAGCGTTTGAAGTTTTATTTACTTCTTTTGCACATTAACAAATTGTTTAAGTTTTATTTACTTCTTTTGCACATTAACAAATTGTTTAAATCCAGAACCTGAATCTTCGACGACATGAATAGAATAAAGTACATTGATTTTTTTGGAATTGTTATCGCGTCCGAATTCATATCAGCAAAATGTATTCAATTTTTTCTTATAAATACAAATTGACCAGCAATATAAACACTAAAAATAAACACTTAACACAATAAAAGCGGCCAGTAATAAAGAATGGTATCTAAATAATCCATAGTTATATATATATATACATATATATATATATATATATGTGTGTGTGTGTGTGTGTGTGTGTGTGTGTGTGTGTGTAAATTTATGTTTGTAACTGAATCAAGGTATATGTTGTATATGTTGAAAACAATCTTTAACTCTAAAAACAAAAAAACTTGTATAAATAAAAAGCAAAACGGGAAATAAAAAAGAAATATAAAGCAAAACGTGAAATATATTGTCAGCTCTGAAATATATATATATATATATATATATATATATATATATTGTTAAAATATATAATACTTTCATCTTAGAGTTCACCAAGGCTCGATTTTAAGTCCACTGTTATTTATAAAGCTTTTAACTCTGCTGCTCGTCTAGTTGCTCGTGCCCCTTTCTTTTCTCATATATCTCCATATCTTGTTCTCTTGCACTGGCTACCTATAAAATATAGAATAATTTTTTTAAATTTGCACGTTCAGGTATAAGTCTCAATATAAATTATTTCCTAAGTATTTATCAGATATATTAATTGAACCTAAACGCCTCGGTTTACGATCGTCTTCTTCTCGCTTTTTCTTAACTCGTGTTAAACACTCTTTTGCCAAATCTGCTTTTGCTTTTTCAGATCCTTTTCTCTGGAACTCTCTACCTACTTCTCTAACTACTTTTCCATCACTTGCGAAGTTCAGAGCGGATCTCAAGACCCATCTGTTTTCAAAATTCATTGAGGAGCGCTGTTGAACATCGCGGAAATAGCGCTTTATAAGCTAATTGATTGATTAATTGATTGATTGATAACTGTGATGGAAGAAATCACAAAACCGATGCGCACTGGTGACATTTGGAATCTAATATATGCTGATGATATCGTTTTAACAGCTACGTCTGAGTAGATTACAGCACAGATGTTTGAAGATTGGAACACCAGACTCGCCGATCATGGATTCAAAGTCAACATCAGCAAAACAAAAGCAATAAACACTGGTGAACCCATCAATTCCACAGCTTCTGGACGGTGGCCCTGTTCAGTTTGTAAAGCTGGTGTAGGTAAAAATTCAATTAAGTGTCAGTAGTTTAACCAGTGGTGTCACAAACGTTGTTCAAAAATAATTGGTACTTTATCTACAGCAAAGTATCCAATTGTGGTTTGTCCTGCTTGCATCAATCCACAACAAAAAAATTCGAAATAGCAATGTTTTTGAAGCCACTAAGGTAGAGAAAGATTTGTGATACGTTCGGTGCTGTTATATGGTGCAGAAACATGGCCAATGACAACCAAACTGGAACAACAATTTCACCGAACCGATATGAAAATGCTCCGATGTATGCAACGAATTAGTCTGAAGGACCACATCAAATCAAACGAAATCCTACGTCGTTCTGGTTTAGATGATATAAAGGACAAATGCCGGCAACACCGTCTGAGGTGGTTTGGTCATGTCAAACGAAGTGAAAACAGTGCCATAACTTCTTTTGCAGTTGTTGAAGTACCTGGCACACGTCCCAAAGGCCGTCCAAAAAAGTCCTGGTCGCAAGCAATCGTTCAAGACATGAAAGCTCTAAATGTAAATGAAATGGATACAACTAATTGCCTAATTTGGCGCAAAAAATTGATGGCAAAAAAAACAACATCCTACCTTGGGGAAACTGGGTCTCTGGACGCTAAACAAAAATTGATTGATTAACTCTCATTTTACTTTGATTGTATATAAATGGAAACAATTTATACAAATACGAACTAATGAAAAAAAATCAAGAAAAGCAAAACGGGAAACATGTCATAAATATATATATATATATATATATATATATATATATATATATATGCCATGTTTCCCGTTTTATATATATATATATATATATATAAGATTAGGATTGTCAGAAATGCAATTATTGATGAAAATCACAGCTTATTCGAGGTTAGTTAACTTCCAATTTAACTTTTCGATTTTTCTAACGGTTGATCGTAAATTATTTTCAAGTTTCCTTAGTTCAAAACCAAAATTTAATTTATTTTATACATGTAGAACAGAAAAGCTTCTTTTGGTATTCCTGTACCATCTACGGTTGTCAAATTGATATATTGTGGTTGTGCATTTGATCATCTGGCCGATAAATTTTTAATAGCTAAAAAAATACAAATAAATGCAATTAAACAAGAAAAGAGAAAATAGCAGAAAGAAAAACAAAGAATAATTTCGTTTCTATATTAAAACTTTTTCATGTAAGAGCTTTAATATAGAAGAAGCTTTATTATGAAAGAGCTCTTTCATGTAAGAGCTTAACTATTACATGTAAACTTAATCCATATTTTATTTTTATTTAATCTAATTTTTAATATGTGGCCTTATTTCATTTGGCATCAAAATTATTAATAAACACTTTAAAATATAATTTTTAAATTATTTGTTCAACAATTTATTACAATAAAATGAAGCGCTTCGGTTGGTCATGAATATTAATGAAGGGCGGAGCCAAATTTAAAGTTTTCAATATTATTGTATGTTAACAAAGGAAACGTGGTTTCATACTGGTTTACCTATAAAATAATTAAATAAATAAGAAAAAAATTATTTAAATGTTATGCTATAAAAAACGAAAACTTCCTGTAGACGATTAAATTTGAAAAAGTGAAACAAAGAAATGTCAACCACAACGAAGAAATGTTTACGCCATAGAATATGGCAGACGCGTTATATATATATATATATATATACATTGTTCATATATATATATATATATATATATATATATAACATCAAGGTCAATCTAACAATTATTTGATTCTACGAAAAAATGTTTAATGTTTACGCGTTTAATTCCATAGAACTAAAAAAAATACTAGGCAGGTTACAATTATTATGCCATATCCATTATATCTATGTTAACGCTACAAATTATGTTCTCTTTATTTCATAGAACTAAAAATATTAATAGCAAGGAAATAATTCTTATGCCATATCCACTATATCCATGTATAGAACACCAACGGTTTTCTTATTAATTTTAATAAATTGGATAATAATTATAAAATGACTGTTAAAAATGTTGAAAAGCTCAATCGTAAACTTTTAAAAGCTAAAAATTTGGTCGAAAGATTCTATCAAAATCGTGTGTATATATTTATTACAAAAATATATAAATGACAAGATAAATTAAAAGTTATTAGTATTATCATTTTAAAAATTAAATTATTAAATGTTAATATCAATATTAAAACCTTGAAGAGATACAATAATTTGGCGACGCTGAGTTGTAAATTCCGCGTTGACTGGTTGGAGTTTATTATTCGTAGAAAGAAATTCGTGTCGCTGTATCATAACACAATTTTCCGGGTTGACACGGTATTGCAAAATTAATCGTAAGGTATGTCCAAAACTATAGAATTGTTTATTGAGCGATGGCTTGTATTTTTTAAAATAAGAGACGAACTGAATGGGTTTCAAACTAGAGAATCGTTTTATTAAGATCTAGTGAAAGGCATATGTGCTTGCATTCCATAAAATCTGTACGTCTACGGGAGAGACTTGTACCAGTGTCACCGATGTAATTTTCAACTAACCGGTGTTGCACAGGGCATGTAAATCTATATTAAAACATCCTCATTGGAAGTATGAGAAGTCCAACTAATTTTCATAAATCTTTTTAAAAACCACATTTCAGCAGCATTAATCCTTTTTTCTATTTCTTTAGTAATCGTCCATGACTCTGAGCCAAAGTGAGCACAGAAAAAATGTAACACTAATAGTTTTAATTGTGTTGATATTGATTTTACAGTTGGTTGTGATGTTTTCTATTTTAGAATATGCATATTTTGCCAAAGCTATCCTTCGTTTGATATCCATATCACATTTACAACCTAAGGTAATCAGACTTTCGAGATAATTAAAGTTGCTGACTTGTTTCACCTGTTTACCAGTAATAATTATGGAGAAGATCGGGACTGTTTTGCTTTTACTGATAACCATGCACTTTGTTTTGTTGATATTAATTTGAAATTTTTAATTAGCTATTAGACATGTGTCATCAGCGTATTGATGAAAGAGTAAGCCAAAAGTGTTAATGCTATAAGAAAAAGGAGAGGTAAAAATAATGAAAAGAATGGGACCAAGGACAGACCCTTGACAAACTCAAGTGGATAAAGTGAAGCTAAAAGAAGAGTGAGAACCAAATTTAAAATATTGAGAACGATCTGAAAAATAAGATTGAAACCAGGATAAGGTAGATCCTGTGATGCCATTTTTTGCCTCATATCTATCAATCAACATCTGATGATTAATGGTATCAAAAACTGCTAAAAAATCCAGACTGATCATGAACGAACAATTCTGGTTTCCGCATATGTTAGCAAGTTGGTTATGAACATGAAAGAGGGCTGTTTTTGTAAATTAACTTTTTCTGTTAGAGGATTGAAAAAAGAGAAATTAGATAAAATAATATGAGTGTGATTCCTGTTCAAAACAATGCTTTTAATTTGAATAATAATTTTATTTTTAATAATTTGAACAGTTTTTAGAATATTTTAGTAAGAAAAATAGAATTTGTACAATATTGTATGTAATATGGTTTTCTAACAATATTATATATATATTATATATACACATACATATATGTATATATATAATTTGATTGCTAGTTGTTATTGAATGGTGTATAATTGCTCACAGGCAGTTTTAGCGCTATAAATTAATTTCATCGTTAACCAGAAAAATGCATGAAATAAATGAATTAAAAAGTTATCAAAAGGAAAAAAAAATTTTTTTAATATAGATAAATAATTATTAATAAACTATAAAAATGTAAAAATTGATAAATAATTAATTGTTCATGGACACTAAAGAATAACACGAGACCCTCAAGCGCAATGAAAACGTGCGCGGGTGCGTTTGATGGTCAGTATAGCTAAGTATTTGATTTTAAATTCAAGGCTGTAAAAAAGTGACTAACTTCGTAAATGTTTTTATCTAAATTTAAAATTCCGAGTGAGTTTGCAAATCATGTCTGAACGTTACAGTTTTAGCTTGACCACATTTAGGTATTTATTCAATCTTTTAAATGTTTTTTTCCAATTTTTGATTTATGTAATTAATTGACGTTTTTTCGTAAATTTTTGATTATCAGTTTTTAGGGGTAAATTTAGAGTACGGGTTGGACTAATTGGCTGACTTACCTTTTAGGCTGACATGCATGCCGATGATAATGCGATTATCACAAATTGTAGTGGCTGACTTTGACTGACTCTTCACGAAAACAGAATTACCCTTAATCAAATTGATACAAATTTTTATAATATAAAATAAAATTGAATAATTATTCAGCAAAACCTTACTGGGAAATTCCATAAAAAGGTAAACAAAGAGTTAAAAATAAATCCAGCTATTTTTCCTCATGTAGCTCCTCCCCCTTTTTAATATTTATCTTTATTAGATCATAAGACGAGAACAAGAAAAGATATTTTTCCAATCATTTTCATTTATTATTAATTTTTAAATAATTTTCATTAATAGATATTTTGTGTGTTTATGTGTAAATGGTGATAATTGATAGTACAGATTAATTTTATAACATTTGTATTGGGCAATTTTGTCCTGGTTATGACATTAAACTGACCCTCACTGCCTTGTGAGTGATGTTGGATCATCAAAGGCTAGGCCCACTGCTTATAACTGTGGTTGCGTAAGGAAGGGCGTCCTGCGTTAAAATTAGCCAATAAAATATTTATGATGACATTCAGTTTCATCATAGGTAGCCAAACGGCAACCCCCAATCTCGGGGAAAATGTCGTCTAAACGTGTGTTGTTGTTGTGGTATTGGGCAAATAAATCGCACACGCTAACGCACACGCATTTATTACTTCCATATATACATATCTATATACATATGTATATCCATTTCACATAATTTTAATTGTATTTTTTATCAAATTAAATTGTAAGTAATTTGTATCCTTCATTTATTACGATAAAATAAAATCATGAACTCCTAAAAAAATGTTTTGGCTTGCACTCGTAAATTATAAAATTTTTAAATAACATTTTAAAAAAAACGAAAAATTAACCGCTTTAAATATCATTTATTATTTTACAAGACAAGAAAAATTGAAAATTGCGCTTTTAAACATTTTTACATCCATATATACATATATCATAGACGTCTTAAATAAAGGACTGACGGCGTTCAATCTCGGGTCCGCGAACTTGGGTCCATCAGTATTTTCAGTACTTTTTGCTGTAACTTTGTCAAAAGTGGTCCATTTGTTATCAAATTTTAAACACAGGTTGCCACAAACAACATAAACAATTTTTGTACATTTTTTTTCTGTTTCTTCTTCTTTAACTGAACATTAGCAACAACATGCATTTTTGTTAAATAAAATTTAGTTCAACTGATTGATTGAAAAAAAATGTAAATGTAAAATTTATTAAAATTATAAAGAAAATTATTAGATAGTTTTATTAGAATACATAGACCTCTTAATTGCTGTTCATTGCAACTTTTCCTTTAAACTTTTAAATAAAATTTAGTTCAACTGATTGATTGAAAAAAAATGTAAATGTAAAATTTATTAAAATTATAAAGAAAATTATTAGATAGTTTTATTAGAATACATATACCTCTTAATTGCTGCTTATTGCAACTTTTCCCTTAAACTCTTAATTGCTGCTCATTGCAACTTTTTCCTGCGTCTCAAACAGCCAAGTTCTTGCTCTCTGTCACTATGATGGATAACATGAGCCTTAAGTAGAATGTTTACAAGTGAACGGCAGGCCATGGTGTTGTTGGATAACGGTGCGTCGACATATGATAATAAAGTTGAAACATATTTACGACAAGAGGCCTTCGGTGGACTAAGTTTGCTGATGATGTGAACAGCACTATGAACAAGGTAGACAGTTGACAACTTTGGAATTGATAATCCTTCTCTGTCCAGCTGCTGAGTGAAGTCACTAGATAGAGTAAAGTCTTGTGCGTCATCAGCATCATTGTTGCCTAAATGTTGCTGATACTTACATGTTAAGAAGCCCGCAACAAAAATGATTTTGTGTTTCAGACAATTGTCAGACTGTATCAAATTTTCAGTGTCTTCTGTTGTTATATCCTGCAGCATCTCCAAGTCTTGTTCATCTGGTGATGCTGTACAGTTAATGCATGCACGTTGTGCATCGTCCTTAGGAATGATATCCAGTTTCAATAACTGATGGAGTCGTTGTACATTGGCGGCAGCTATGACATCACTGATATCTATGTAAAAATTACCTCCAAAACGCTGTCTCGCTTGCCCAAAGAACTTTTCCAGTGGATCTTGGGAAAAGACAGCTGGAATAACGTACCTGAAATGATGATCACTGAGAAGTTCTGTTGAAGCAGCTATGTTGAATTTTGAAGTTACCACAAAGGCGTCGGCAGTGAATTTGGTAAGCTTATGACATCGTTTTCTAGTATCTTGCCACTTACACGTACTAATAACATTGCAAATGAACTCCAACTTTTTGAAACTTTCGCAATTAAACTTCCAGGGTTCTCGTTTGTCGTCTCTGAGTTTAATGTAACTGTATCTATCTTTGACGTTCATCATTTTGAACCAACTTGTTATTAACTTGAAAAATTCTACTGTGCCTCGTTGAAATTCTAAATTGTCTTTAACTGCTTCAAAGACTGCTAACAGTCTTACCATCAAACACCTTGCATACAAGTGGAACACTCTGTCTTTGCAGAACCTTAGGAAATACAGCGGTGTGTGTCAATTTTGTCATTCTTAACGGCCTCTTGCTGTCGATGTTATACAGATGGATAATATCTTTCCAGCAGGCTTTGTACTCTTTTCCACCCAATTGGAAAATAAGCTCCTTTTGCGGCTCCGTTATCCAGTTGTTTTTGATATTTTTAAAAATGTGGATATAGTCATAAACCAGATACATATGCAATGTGTCGTTTGGCACTTGAACAATACCGTGGCTAGGTTCTTGTACATCCGCTGATTTAATGGGCAGTTGTCACAGATTATTGATATAGGTCGACCACCGCAGTATTTGATTGTTGTAATAACTTCTAACAGGTACTCCTTCAATGAGTTTGCATCAAGTTTTGCAACCGGAATAATACGAATAGTGAAGTCTGAACTAAGTTAATATAGACAATTTTAGACTCGATTATAAAAAAAAGTAAACAAAGTTTCCATAACGACGCAAATGAAATCATACCATAGAATTTTTAATAAATTCAAGACGTCAATATCAAACATAGACGTCTTAAATTATTTAAGACGTCTATGATATCAAAATAAAAGGTTTAATAATAGTGTAAGTTGATAAGATACAGTAACAAAAATTACAAAACCTGTTTATGTTATTTGTAGCAATTTCTGTTTAAAATTTGGTAACAAACGAATTTTTTTTGACAAAGTTATAGTAAAAATAATAAAAATAATGATGGACCCAAGTTCGCGCACCCGAGCATGGCTGCCGTCAGTCCTTTATTTAAGACGTCTATGACATATATATACATACATATATATATATATATATATGTGTATCCATGATTACATCACAACAAAGGCAACGGCTATTAAAAAGGGGAGGAGCTAAATGGCGCAAATTAAGCTAGATTAATTTTTAACTCTTTGCTTACTATTTTATGGAATTTCCCAGTACCATCTAAAGGTTTTGCCGTTTTTATAACCCTATTTAATCGTTAACTTGATATTGCCATTTTTTTGATGCATCAGAAAATTCCAAGATTTATAATAAGGGCAAAACTTATTTATCACAACCTGTTGGAAGGTTTTTTGTCGTGGAGACAATGTCTAATTATTGATGTATTTTTTGCCAGTATTTTATAGAACGATCTACCTATGGTTAATCCCACTATGATTGGCCTATAATCCCCAGGGTTTTCCGGATTCCTTGTTTTTGGTATGAAGCTTGTCACACCGGTTTTAAACTGGGATAAAGGAGTGTTGAGTTTCAACCAGAAGTTTAAGTGTGCGGCTAGATTCTCAACTGGAATCTTCCTGAGCATCGATTTTGTAATTTGATCTTTGCGAACGTCATCCCGCCCCCATCTTCGGGTGACTGCGAATACGTCGGATTGGGATTCGACGCTTCTTTTTTGTTGTTGCATTGTTTGCTCGGAACGTTGATTCACAGACTTCGCCGTACAGGCAGTGAACCCGCCGACTACTGAAAATTTCCCCTTTTTATCTTCCATGGTTTATTCGACGACTCCCACCACGAGAAGGTAAAGGGCACCCCTAACCACGCTGCAAATGGTAGAAGGTCGATATCGGGTCACGTTTTTGAAAAACTCCGATTTTAAATCTTGAATTTTAATTTACTAATATAACCCGTTAGAGATTTATTATTCACACAAAACTTTTATTCAAATATTTTTACACGAATTTTAAATATAAACATAAACATGGCTTTTAATACTAAAATAATACCGTTATAACCTTTAACGTTCATAACTACAAGCACCAGTGTTATAACTTCAAAGATCTCTATATTTTCAACACCAGTGTTGTAAATTCCAACGATCGTCAAGTGCGTTATTCTGTAGTTTCAAGATTTTCGATAGAAGAATACAACTGCTTCAAACGCAAACGTGTTGAATGTTTATTTGAATGCCAACAGTAATAGAAACACTAAACTAATCTAAGCAACTGCATAAATCACATTTACGACTTTGTTTCATACCTCACTAGAAACCTGACTGCCCTTCTCGAAACCTGCCTGGAAATCTGTCTCTGCAGGATCCTCTATAGCCCCTAAGGTGGATTTTTACGATCAAAAAATTATAAATATTTTTTTATGTTCCTCTATAGTTTATAATCCAAAGATTACAAATATAGCAAAGATAACAATAATTAAGATAACAAATAATTTAGTGCAATTTGATCATTCCAGCCGTTATAACAATACTTAAACGATAAATAAAATCCAATCCAATTTATGTAAATTTTGTTGAACATGTTCGTGGTGTAAATTTTTTGACTGCATACTTTCTCTTATATTGATGAGTTGGCAAATCACGTTGAAGGGTCCAATAATAGTCTGCCAACATCGGTGCACTCCATCGACCCTGATAGCGTGACTCCATCACCGAAATGTCTTAGTGGAAGCGCTAGCCATATTCGTTACTTGCTGCACCTAATCTAAATCTAAATGGGAGTCGCACTTTTGCACAATATCCATGAAGTTGGCACTTTTCTTATTTCCAACGAAATGAAATAAAACTGACTTGAATGCCACCCACGCCTCTTTTCCAGTTGGACTAAGAATATCTTCAAAGTGGTCATCAGCCATCCTATCTCTTATTTGTGGTTCTTTTACCTTTGCATAAATCAATCCTGGGAACCTGTTGCACAGGTACTGAAATGCATACTGTCGTTGTCTAATTTTTTGACAAAATTTTTCACAAGTCTCAACTTCATAAGAGTGGTGACATAAGAATTTTCATCACAGTCAACCAACGGTGGATGTTGAACATTTTCATTTCCTGGCAGCATTGTGTTTTTGAATGGCCAATTTTTCTTAATGTAATGCTGCATCCTCTCTCTGCTGTTTCATTCACATAGGAAGCAGCAGTATTTTGTGTATCCTGCCTGTTATCCTGTCGAAATAGCCATAAATACTCAAATTGTATTCACAATAACGTATTTTTTGCAGACGTAATGACATGTTTTCGTAAGTTTTTTTATATGGGCAGAATAAGAAGAATCTACTTGTATTGACACATGCCTGCTTCCATTGTGCAACAATACTGTCTTCAAACTAGTCTTTCACTTCTTCAACAATATGTTAACCTCCCAGATGCGACATAAGGCCATTCACATCTGTGCAGTAGCAAATACTATCACTTATTTCAAAGTACTGAACAAAAGTTTATGCCTGAGACGAAAATTCGCTGTTGCTGTACTCGGAGCAAATAAGTTCAATTCCTTCAAACGTGAACCAAGCACCTCTTTTTGGGCTTTTGTTCCAGACCTCTTACAAGATCACAAAGTTCAGCATAATTAATCTTCTTCTGTGGCGCCATTGTAGTCAGTCTGAATCACTGGCAGAAAACGAAACCTCACTTTTGTCATGCATGTCAATTGTGAATGTTGCAGAAGTTTATGGTATTGGACAAGCCACAGGACCATGTTGAATTAGTTTTGAAATAGACCGAACTCGACGTCTGGGTGTTAAACAGATAAACGTGTTTTGTAATTAATTCCACTAACCTTTGCCAAACAAAAATAACGTGAGTTATTGTTTTGTTCACGCCGTATCATAGTAACTCCAAATGCCGTGCGATTGTTTTTCGGTTCATCCATAAGAGTCCACAATTTTTTGGCAAACTTTTACCCCCCTCCCCCCTTGTCCAACTTTGTCCACATTTTGATGAACTCCCCTCCCACCCGTTTTATTCATCAAAAACTGACAAAGTAATGTTTGAACATTTTTTAATATTAAAATATTTGTTATAATTTTGTGTTTTTTTTCTAAACAATAAACAAAGATATAAAAAATTAAATGTATAAAGAATCAAAAATATTAACAAATCTATTTTAAAACATAATATTCTGACAACTTAATATTGAAAATCCGATTGAAGCCAATCAAATAAATTTCTTATCATGATCACATCTGTTGTTGAGACGTCAGTTGAGTTATGTTTCTTATTGAAATCTTCAATTGATTCTTCCTCATTATCTTGATCAATGAAAGAATTGTTTTCATGGACGACTTTGTGACCTTTCATATTAGCCAAAGATGGAAAATATTTACCACAAAAACACATTCGTTTATGAATCTTCCCAGCCAAAGATGGACAATTTAGGTCGAAAGGTAAGCTGGGATAATTGTGACAAGGTTCCAGACTATTTAGTGCAAGGCTTTGAAACAATGATCCAAAAACACCACTCCCACTCCCAATAGCTGCAGCTATGACACCTGCCTCGTTATTAACAAAAGGTATTGGTGCTGGTATGAAACGTTTTGGAAATATATTGTTATAGTTGGTTCGTTTTTGGCCACAGCATATTATTTCATTGCATTTTACTAATTGCAGTAAATACTGTGACTGTTGTACATGATTCCAACACCATTTAGCACTTGGGTGCTTGAAGACTGACACAGCTTGTGTCGGGTTTGACAAACTTAGCAACCACATTATAGTTGTCGATAATACCCAGTATTTCTCCCGCTTTTTTAAAAATAACCTTTTCCAGTTCCGGATCTATTGTTTTACCATTAGTGTCCAAATGAGATCCAAAACAGTCGTAGGGAAGAATGAGGCCAAACAGATCGTGAGATAGTGGAGCCATGCGTCGCTCTACTGCATTATATGCACTGTGACCTGGTGCATGGCTGGCAATGAATAATGCATCAACATCATGTTCTGTAAATAGTTTATAAGCAGCGCACAATGTTTTTGGATAGCGTGGATTTTCATCTGGGCCTCCATCAACAGTTATAATAACTATAGGCTTCAGTACTCCAGCATTAGTACATGCTACATTCTTGAAAGTGTCCAGCCTAACTAACGTGTTAAAGTCTGCAACATGAGTGGCAGCACTGCTTTTGTCATGTTTACCACTCCTTATGGATATCATTGTAGGTCCAGAATAAGTGACACGACCATCTTTGATAACGCATCCAGCGTAGACTGAAGGTATATACATAGACATCAATTATGTCTATCCTCCACAACTCAGTCATGGTCAGGCAACTAAACGCGATACTGTAAATGTATTAAAATTGGTGCAAGTTTGAGGCAGCTGGAAGACCCAAGGGCACTCTAGCTTTGTCATCTTGGCTGAGAAAGAATGTGCAATGGCTTCCCATCAATACCGACAAATCTTTCAAACTTCGCATAGAAAAGCAAACATTGATTATTTTTTCTGCATACGCACCACAGACAGGCGAATCAGAAGAGATGAAAAATGACTTCTGGACTGCATTCTCTGACACCATCTCAACAATACCAAAATCTGAAACAATCCTGATTGGAGGCAATCTCAATGGCCACGTTGGAGAGAAAACAGATGGTTTTGACAACGTACATGGCGGTTTCGGCTATGGAAAACGGAATGAAGATGGCAACCGCATCCTTGAGTTTGCTGAAAGTCACGGGTTTTGTTTACTGAACACATATTTTAGAAAAAGGTAGGAACATCTCATAACATACAAAAGTGAACCATCAGCCACGCAAATTGATTTCTTCGCTGTCAAGCAACAACATCGAAGGCTATTCAAAAACGTCAAAGTTATACCTGGCGAATCATGTGTCGCCCAACATAGACTCCTTGTGGCTGACCTGGTTGTCGAACTGTCAAAACATAAGTCTAAACAAATGCCTCGGAGAATCAAAACGTGAAAGCTGAAAAGCAATATTCATCGAGAAAAATGTCAACAGATTGTCGCCACACAGTTAGACCACCAATCGCAAGCCAGTACAGATTGGAGTACATACATAACCGTTTTGATAAACGCTGCAACTACAGTTTGTGGGAAAACTGGTACAAAACGTCAGCATGAACGAGACACATGGTGGTGGAATGACAGTGTACAAATGCAATAGCTGAAAAGAAAGCTGCATACAAGCAATGGCAAAAATCAGTCTGTTGATGACCATAAAATTTTCCGTGAGAAGAACAACTATGCAAGACGTCAAGTCGCACTGGCTCGAACAGATCAGTGCAGAGAGTGGCTCACTAAAAGCAAAGGTGAACAAATGAAATCTCTGTATCGTATAGCAAAACAAGCAAAGCGTACGAAAAAAGACATAGTTGGTGCCTCATGTATCAAAAACGACAAAAATGAGATGGTTCTTGAACAAGATGAGATCAAGCTACAGTGGAGAGAATACTTCAACCGTCTGTTAAACGAAACAAATTCCATCAATGTTAACTTTGACGCTCCACCCATAGTAGGTCCGATTCCAGACATTACAATAGAGGAGCTTACAGAAGCTCTAAAAGCTATGAAGGATGGAAAGGCAGCAGGGCCCTCTGGACTCACAAATGACATTATCAAAGCATCTGGTACTACAGGTATCCAAACGTTACTACAACTTTGCCGTGAAATCTGGAGAAATTGCTCAATGCCGACTGAATGGAACTATAGCATGACAGTCCAGCTATACAAAGGCAAAGGTGATCCATTGAACTGTTCATCATATCGGGGTATACGTCTGTTAGAACACTCCCTAAAAATTGTCGAAAAAATCATTGAGAGAAGATTAACGTCGTGAATCGCAATCGGATATTATCAATTTAGTTTTCTAGCAGGGAAATCAACAATTGATGCAATTCACATCCTTCGGCAACTGCAAGAGAAGTACCTCGCAAAGCATCGACAACTATCACATATATTTGTAGACCTTGAAAAAGCATTTGATCAAGTTCCCCGTGAAGCAATCAGGTGGAGTCTACTACGACAACTCATTCCAGAATATCTTGTTCGACTTGTGATGGAAATGTATACGAATACTAAGCCTCTCGTCAGCACAACGGTTGGAAACACAGATGCATTTGACATCGGCGTTGGAGTTCACCAAGGCTCGATTCTCAGTCCACTTTTATTTTATAACTGTGATGGAAGAAATCACAAAAACCGATACGCACTGGTGACATTTGGAATCTAGTATATGCTGATGATATCGTTTTAACAGCCACGTCTGAGCAGCATGCAGCACAGATGTTTGAAGATTGGAACACCAGACTCGCCGATCATGGATTCAAAGTCAACATCAGCAAAACCAAAGCAATGAACACTGGTGAACCCATCCAATCCACAGCTACTGGACGATGGCCCTGTTCAGTTTGTAAAGCTGGTGTAGGTAACAATTCAATCAAGTGTCAGCAGTGTAACCAGTGGTGTCACAAACGTTGTTCAAAAATAGTTGGTACTTTATCTAAAGTGTCCAATTTTGTTTGTCCTGCTTGCATCAATCCACAACAACAAATTCGAAATAGCAATGTTTTGGAAGCAATGTTAAGGTAGAGAAAGTCACATCGTTTCAATATCTATGGGATGTTCTGGATTGTACTGGAACAGCTGAAGCTGCCGTTCGAGCACTTATACGTGCAGCCTGGAATAAATGACATCTTCTTGCCTCTATATTGATGCGGCGTGACATCCCACTACTACTACGATTAAGACTTTATAACTCTGTGATACATCCGGTGTTGTTATATTGTTCAGAAACATGGCCAATGACAACCAAACTGGAACAACAACTTCAACGAACCGACATGAAAATGCTCCGATGGATGCAACAAATTAGTCTGAAGGATCACATCAAATCTACTGAAATCCTGCGTCGTGCTGGTTTAAATGATATAAAGGACGAATGCCGGCAACACCGTCTGCTGTGGTTTGGTCATGTCAAACGAAGTGGAAACAGTGCCATAAGTTCTCTTGCAGATGTTGAAGTACCCGGCACACCTCCCAATGGCCGTCCAAAGAAGTCCTGGTCGCGAACAATCAAGCAAGACATGAAAGCTCTAAATTTAAATGAAATGGATACAACTGATCGTCTAATTTGGTGCAAAAAGTTGATGGCAAAGAAAACAACGTCCTACCTCGGGAAACCGGGTCTCTGGACGCAAAACGAAGATTGATTGATTTTTATGAAATATAAAAATGTCATTATAGAGAATTACTGTTTATTCCATCACATAATTAAAAATTGTGTTAAATTCAAACATGTTTTTATTAATTTATGTATAAAAAAACTAATATAATAAATTATTTAATAACAAATATGTGAAGTTTTTTAAACTTTTTTAAATATTGGACTTACTTTTTTGTATCTACTGATATCTTCATTGGTATCACAATAACGTCAGGAGATTGTGAGTCGCTAGACGTAGTAGCCGAATCTCTCGAGCGTTTGGTTGCTGCAGCTTTGCTCCACATGGACATCATTTTTCCACGTCTACTAGCTGTGATTGCCTTGAATTTGATGATATCGCTCTTGATCTCATCAGGATTACTTTTACACTCATTCCAAAGTTTTTGTAAATTTTTATATTAGGATTAGCGGCAATATAATTATCTTTAAATTCTAAATACAATTTCCCCATTATTTAAAAATATAGTTTGCAAATGTTCAAAATTGTTCAAATTCAAAAAACTACACGACATAATTTCTGCTTGTCCGCTTTTTATGGAAAGTCATCGCAATAGAACGCCAGTTCAATAAAAACTGGCGACTGAAAGTTTTTTATGATCACTAAAAACTTAATATACGAAATAATCTTAAATTTTATTTGGAAATAAAATTTTAAATGTTTTTTTAAAACAAATACTAAAATTATTGGTAATATATGAAGTAATAAAAAGTGAAATTCAGTTTTTAAATATTTTGAATTATTGACCAATCCATTAAGTTTACGATAGAAAAACTAAACCATCAGGGGCTTTTAGTACTTAAAGATAATGAAGAAGAATTCCATAAAAAAAGTTTGAATTTATGAAAAAGCGCTGTATAAAAGTGTTTCATTGACTGGCATTCTAGATGACATTTCTTTTGGATGTTAGAGAGAACGGTTTATGTAGGTAGATAATATAACGGTGAGTTGATGAAAACATAAAAATAGATTATATATTTTTTTTAATTAGACTGTCCACTGTCGTTTAGACAGTTAATGTCATTTGTTTTGTGATTTAAATTAAATATGAAGGAATTATTATTTTCATAACATTGTAAGGTCTATGTAATAAGAAACACCATATTTATAGCTTAAAACTATACTGGTGGACATCCACTTTGGCATTTACCCCCCCCGCTCTCCTTGTCCACTTTTAGCTGAACCCCCCTTCCCTTCCTTGAGTGGACGTCTTTTATGGATGACCCCCAAGCAAATGAACTTTGGTGCCCAAGACTTACTACTATCTACCTTTGAATCGAAATACAATTTGCATGCCTTTTTAGCAACGGCGTGAAAGTCTTCTGATGAGATTTTTCTGTCACAAGGCCGCACACAGCAAAATCGATCAGCTGAATTTACACATCATCTAGTCGTCATATTTAAGAAAAACACCAGAATATCTAATCCCAGTTTTATATTGCAATTCACAAACTTATCCGCAAAATTGGCATGAGTCATAAAATCTGAAGTCATCAAATCATCTCTTAAAAAATGATAATACAAAATTCTTATATATTACTTATAAATTGACACATTTATATATATTATATATATATTGATGGAAAATTCTCATGTAATTTATATAAACATATAGGGGGTTATAAAAATACACCCATAACAATAAATAAGACTTTTTATAAAATGATTATGTATTAGCCCACAGTTCTTCCTCTGCAAACTAAATACAATATCTCAGAAATTTTACATAATAGAGCAAAACGGTTTTCAAATTTAAAATCAGCATGAAAATCTGCTTAAGAAACAATCAATGATGTTTGTTTAAGATATCTAAACTTAAATTTAATAATTTATTTTACTTGTAATAATTAATTTTACTTGTATCTACAAGCCCCTCAGGTAAATTGGTTCAGATTGAGTATGCATTGGCAGCTGTTGCCTCTGGTGCGCCTTCAGTTGGTATAAAAGGTAAATATTTGCACTAGATCGTTATTTAGCATGAATTGTTACGTTTAAGCTTTTTCGTTTTTTTAGCACTTAACGGCGTAGTCCTAGCGACAGAAAAAAAGCAAAAATCAATTTTGTATGATGAACATACCATTAATAAAATTGAAATGGTATCTAAAAATATTGGAATGGTATACAGTGGAATGGGTCCTGACTACAGGTAAATTAACACATTTTATCTGTTAATGACTTTTGTAATAATATTAAATCTATTAGGGTGTTGGTAAAGTCAGCAAGAAAACTGTCCCAACAATACAGTTTGATCTACGGAGAAGAAATCCCAACAAGCCAACTGGTCCAAAAAATCGCTAACGTGATGCAAGAATACACTCAACAAGGGTATCCACAAATTTATTGTTTCGTATCAATGTTCAATATCATTTCGCTTAACTGATGACGTATATTCTGACTTTTGCAAAACATTTCCTGAAAGGAGCTTATTAAATTAAATAAATATCTTAAAAATAAATTAGTTTGCAATACATTTTTAGTGGTGTGAGGCCGTTTGGAGTGTCGTTGCTTGTTGCAGGATGGGATGATGCAGAACAAAAACCATACTTGTACCAATGTGACCCATCCGTTAGATTGGATTTTTACTTTACGTTGTCTGAAGTGTAAATTTGTTTTTAAAAACTTTTATAAACTTAGGGGGCATATTTTGCCTGGAAGGCTACAGCAATGGGAAAAAACTTTACAAACGGCAAAACATTTCTCGAAAAAAGGTAATTTTGCTACAACTGTTCAATTCAGAAATTCATTTGATTATCTATTTAATCAAGGTATAACGAGAATATTGAATTGGACGACGCAGTGCACACTGCTATACTGACTCTTAAAGAAAGTTTTGAAGGCCAAATGAACGAAGAAAATATTGAGATAGGAATATGCAATCAATCTGGTTTCAGAAGATTAACACAGAATGAAATAAAAGACTATTTGGCAGCCATCATTTAAATTAACTTTTTAGCAATTGAAAATGTCAATCAGCAATTAAATGTTGTATTTAACATTAATTATTGCTTTCTGTTGTCTTTGATTGATCTCTTGTAATGATTTTGCGCCATCGAGTTTATGATTGAAATGACAAAATAGCCGATCATAATCAGCACAATCTTTTCAAACGTCCATGACAACCAGTTGTGTTCCTATAGAAAAATAAAATTAATAAATTATTAACAATAAATTAATAACTTAGATGAATAAATGGGCTAAATGGTAGAGCCCCAGATAGAGAGACAAATACAGATAGCCACCATGCTAATAAGTTCTAAGGACTAGAAACATACAATAAAAAGGTGCTCAAGATTTTGATTTTTTAACAGCTCAAAATAAAGTATCGTCACCTAGCAAATTCAAACTTCATAAAATTTCCATGCTAATTTTATAACGTATTTTCTTTCTTGTGCCTTTCGGGACATTGGCGACCATCGACCTCCACAAAACCGATCTTTAACACTTTGTAGTTCAAATTTGGTGATATTCAACAAATGACACAAGGACATCACGAATGTTGTTGACCGCAATTTTTTTCCATGCAATCTTTCCTGTGGTTGTTTCCATTTTTATCTTCCGCATGATGTGACCAAAAAACTTTAACTGTTCCCATCAAATTATCTGTACGTAATTTACTCTTTTCATAACCAAACTGTTTGAGTACATCCTCATTCGAAGTATGAGAGTTCTAACTAATTTTTATAATTCTTCTCAAAAACCACATATTAGCAGCGTTAATCTTTTTCCATTTCTTTAGGAATTGTCCAGGACTAAGTTAGCACATAAAAAATGTAACACCCCAACAGTTTTAATTTTGTTGATATTCTGATTTTACTGTTGGTGAGGATGTTTTTCATTTTAGAATATGCATCTTTCGCCATAGCTCTCCCTCCTTCTTTTGATATTTATATCACATTTACAACGTGAGGTAATCAGACGTCCAAGATGCTGTTGACTTGTTTCACCTGTTTACCATTAATGATTGTGGAGTAGATTTTGCTTTCACTGATAACCATGCACTCTGTTTTGTTGATGTTCATTTGCAAACGTTTCCTTTCATTTTCAAAAACCAGTTTGGAAACAATTGTTTACAGTTTTTACATTGAATTTGCTTATAAGAGCTGTATCATCAGCGTATCTTACATTGTTAATATTAAGGCCTCAAATGGATATTCCAGGTAGATCTTCTATCTTTCTCATGATAATTTCACTATAGAGGTTGTACAAATCTGGAAAGAATAATACACAGCCTTTCCTAACACCTTTCTTTATTCCGACAAAACTACCAACTCGCTGCACCTAATCTAAATCCAAATGGGAGTCGAATTGACATATTACACCCAAGATTTTTGATAATTTTATAACTGACCATCGATTTAATTTTATAGTCTTGTTTGTTAACGGCACGAACAATTTGAAATAATTTTTGTTTAAATATTAAAATTATTTAAAAAGTTGAAAATTGAATTAGGAATTAGAAAATTGAATGAAATACATTTTCGATGCCTATTATTGTGAAAGCAAGTATGAAGAAATTAAATAATCAATCAATCTTCGTTTTGCGTCCAGAGACCCGGTTTCCCGAGGTAGGACGTAAAGATTAAATATTAATATAGGGATTTAAACATTAATATAGGGATTTGCAAAACTATCGATAAAATCCTTCCAACAAACCCAAAAATTAATAACAATAAAGATTATAACGACCTGAATACAATGTATAATAAACATTTTTATTGATAGTTTTGCACTCTCTTAATTCAATTTTCAACTATTTAAATAATTTAAATATTTTAATTAAAAATTTCAAAAGGTGCAAACAATTTGTGTCGTTAATTAACAAATTGGACTCAAGGAATAAACCAAGTTACAAAATTAACAATGCTGAAACCGGCATAGAATCTCTAAAAAATTGTGGAAAAAATGTGTCTCACCAAAATATATGTATAAATGTGCAGTACTGTTGCACTATCGTCGAGTTATTCGATTTTCCGTAGGTTCACTGATTCTAATAGATAAACACAACTGCTTTGTTTAAACTTAATTTCAATGCTAACAGTAATAGAACCAATGAATTTCTAACTCGATCATCCAACTACCAACCTATCTCCACAACTCGTGTCGTTCTTATATATCAATAGTCTTACAATTAAAAGATTCTAGTCCAATAAAAATATCTGATTGCAACATAGAAAACAAAAAAAATAACTATCAACTGAAATAATTATATAGAGCAATTCGCAAAGCAGTATTTCGGCTCTTGAAGCGGTTATAACGAAAACCTATCGAATCTGATAGCATAACCAAAATACATGTTTTTCTTCTTTGTTCTATATGCTTGTTTTTTGTGTCATCTTGTTGTGCAATGCTTTTTCGCGCCTAATTTTAATGCACCTAGCAATGAAAATTTCAAGGTAGACGCATTTCGGGACACACCATCCGAAAAGCACACGTATTGTTTACATAAATATTGATTTAGAAATCATTAAAATCTTATCTAATATAAAGCTGAGCTATCGCATAAGCTAATCAGTCGACTTTAAGCACCAAAAAAGAGAATTTAAGACAAATTTATGTGAATTATAGAAAAAGTCAGCCAGATAATTTGATATATAATATAAAATGTATAAATATTAAATAAAATTACGTACAATTACGTCAGTAAAATTTGTCACCCTCGTGAAAATTAAATGATTTTAGTTAAATAATTGAAAGTTTGATATAAATAATAATATGTTGTTGGTTGCAATTGTTAAGAAATTGTCAGGTTTTGAATCGAGCCTGTTTGATCGTTCATCTTTTGAATTTATATTATATATGAGGTTATATATTTCCTAAATTAAATGATACACATTACTATCATCTATCTATATAAATTATAGAATGCTATATTAGAATATAATCTAATATATGCTGATGATATCGTTTTAACAGCCACGTCTGAGCAGAATGCAGCACAGATGTTTGAAGATTGGAACACCAGACTCGCCGATCATGGATTCAAAGTCAACATCAGCAAAACCAAAGCAATGAACACTGGTGAACCCATCCAATCCACAGCTACTAGACGATGGCCCTGTTCAGTTTGTAAAGCTGGTGTAGGTAACAATTCAATCAAGTGTCAGCAGTATAACCAGAGGTGTCACAAACGTTGTTCAAAAATAATTGGTTCTTTATCTAAAGTGTCCAATTTTGTTTGTCCTGCTTGCATCAATCCACAACAACAAATTCGTAATAGCAATGTTTTTGAAGCCATTAAGGTAGAGAAAGTCACTTCGTTTCAATATCTAGGGGATGTTTTAGATTGTTCTGGAACAGCTGAAACGGCCGTTAGAGCACGCATACGTGCAGCCTGGAATAAATGGCATCTCCTTGCCTCTATATTGATGCGGTGTGACATCCCACTACCACTATGATCAAGACTTTATAAATCTGTGATACGTCCGGTGTTGTTATATGGTGCAGAAACATGGCCAATGACAACCAAACTGAAACAACAACTTCAACGAACCGATATGAAAATGCTCCGATGGATGCAACGAATTAGTCTGAAGGACCACATCAAATCTACCGAAATCCTGCGTCGTGCTGGTTTAGATGATATAAAGGACGAATGTCGGCAACACCGTCTGCGGTGGTTTGGTCATGTCAAACGAAGTGGAAACAGTGCCATAACTTCTCTTGCAAATGTTGAAGTACCTGGCACACGTCCCAAAGGCCGTCCAAAGAAGTCCTGGTCGCAAACAATCAAGCAAGACATGAAAGCTCTAAATTTAAATAAAATGGATACAACTGATCGTCTAATTTGGTGCAAAAAGTTGATGGCAAAGAAAACAACGTCCTACCTCGGGAAACCGGGTCTCTGGACGCAAAACGAAGATTGATTAGCTAAAATCATTTTGTTTTCGTGGGGCTGAAGAAATTTCGCTTACACAATTGTCCGCAGAAATATTTTTTCGAATCCACCTGGTGGGTTGAACACCTGGTGCACTAAAAAGCTGCCTCTCTAAAAATGTGTGTGAGACACCGCCCATTGAACGTTCAAATTAACAAATAATATTAAATAAAGCTTTAACAAAATTACCAAAGTAGATGTGTCGGAGGCGTGGAGTTTAAGCTTCTGGTTTGCTAAATACTCTTCAAACGGTTTCTTGATCGAGGGACCAATATATGGAATATTTCTATAAAATAAAAATTGACTTGTAACCATAATTATTAAAAAAAATATAAATAAATGCGACAACCTAAGCTTTATACTTAAATGTTTGATATATTAATTTAAATAATAATTATGTCATTTAATGAAGCACAGTCGCGAGCGACTGAGGCACATTAGTATTATTACGACAAACACACATTGCATGTAAACACCAGTGAATCAACGCATCATATACTTCTGCATGTGACAGCAGGGAACCTCCACGTTCTAACCCGGTCACTGCAACAGCAATGCCAGGCATTTTAACAATCACAGCATCGTGCCGCCAAATAATTAATTACCATCGTTAAAAGGATTTTAAACTGAAAAATTTGGTGCAGTCAATTTGATGATAAGTTGGAAACTGTGGAAACATTAGCTTAACTAAAGAGACGGCATTTTTGTTACTCTAGACTTAAAAAAATAAAAATTATATAATTTTACTTGAAGACATACCAAACGTCTCCATCCGTTATGGGTCGTCTATTATTTATATTTTTTTAAGGTCCTCCTGTATGGTCTGCGGGGATGGGGACTGTGCACGTTGAAGGATGCATGTCGTCGTCATCGCCTACGATGGTTTGGCCATGTGAAGCGAAGCGATACAATAATTTCCGTTACTGAGCACCAGGTGCCTGGTACCCGCCCAAGAGGTCGCCCAAAAAAGTACTGGACGCAGATCATACAGGAAGACTTGAGGGCACTTGTTCTCAAGAAGACAGACGCAATGGATAGATCGGCTTGGAGACAGAAACTGATGAATGGAATAAAAAAGTCCGGATGGAGACTATAAACGAGGATTGATTGATTGGATTGATTTCGTTCG